ATACACCGCCTTGGTGAACAGTACTTTTAATGTAGATATGACATGTACTTGGTCGCTCATAAGAGACTGCCCTTGTCACCGTACTTAAGTCCTAAGTTATATATGTATATATTCTGTATAGTCAATAAGTTTGTTTTCACTAGTTTAGTTTAGGGGTGGCGCCCTGCATGGGTCTCGTTGTCCCGTTTGCGCTAGCCCCATTGGACGTATACCCTGTAATTTTATTTGTTTGTATAATAATATGTAACCTTTTATATGTATGTCCAATAAAGCTGATAAAAAAACAAAAACAAAAAAAACATTGTATTTTCCGAACGTGAAGTATTTAAAATAGTTGTCATGGTAACACGATAATTTTTTAAGAATATTTTTACAAATGAAAAATCCCATAAAAATATCACTTTTAATTACAAAATGATCAATTTCCCAAACATATATAAGTTAGGTATGTTATTATACGTTATATAAGCTTCAATTTAAGGTAAAATTCAACCACAAACGCTTCGCAAAACGTTTTAAAGTATTCTTTTAATATAGAACTAAACTGCCTTTTTATAGTTCCGAAGATTCGGGCTTAAAGCTTTGCAGTAATAAATTTACGTGGTGTTTCCACAAACAAAACTATTATAAACTGCCTTTATCGATAAACTTTGAGTTCGAAATAAAATGATTCCAAATTCTCCCATACAAATAACTTTGCTTAGTATAATAAAAAGTGTAATCAATAAAGAAACACTGAAATAATACGCTGTCTTGTTTCATATTTATACGCAACGATCGGCTTTTAAAATAATTACAGTATATTAAAAGCAAACAATGCATCAATATTTAAACAAACTTACCTTCGTTAACGTCGGCACCTTTACTCCCTTCTTTTAGCAATTCTTTTGCCTGTATTTCATCAAAAATCTTTTGAAATTTACAAAATCTTGCAAAAATGAAATATATTTGCAAGAAATCATCAAATCAATTTCGCTGTCGTCAATCGTCATGCAGCCGTTATAATGCCAATTTTAAATTGCACCAATCAGTGTTGGCTATTCATTACAGTCCGCTATATTATGAGATCAGTGAGGATGACCACCCACCGAAACACGCACAGTGACCCACGCCCGCGATATTTGATGAACTTTAGACTTCGCTAATGCTTTCGTTTCCCCGGGTGTAAATAGCCGGGGGGAATTAGTACCCTCGCACGGCGCTTCGCACCGTCGGCTCGGGGATTATATATACATATATATATATATATATATATATATATATATATATATATATATATATATATATATATATATATATATATATATATATATATATATATTTCTACCGCCATATTGCAAGGGTGCAAAAACATTGGGGCGAGCGCGCGGATGCGCGGGGCGTCCGGGCGGGGACATCCGGGCGAGCGCGCGGATATATATATATATATATATATATATATATATATATATATATATATATATATATTTCTACCGCCATATTGCAGGGGGTGCAAAAACATTGGGCCAAGCGCGCGGCCACCAATGGCGCCCATACTATTTCCTATTGAGTGAGTGAAAATTACCTTTTGACATTTTGTCCTTTTTCTCAAATTTTTATTTTTAGATAATCGCTGTTTTTTTCTGATATGTGGCCGAGATTTCGTGCTAATCGAAGGACAGGAAGTAATAAAAAACGGCGGCTTTTGTTGCACACCTTGACCGACGTTTGAGCGATGATTCTTGTTATTTCGTTTGTTTAACCGATCTTTGGAAGTATATTTGTCTATTAAGTGTGTAAGTCCTTTGGTGTCCGCCATTATTACTGTCTATATTTGTATATTTGTACAAAAATCATCGCTCAAACGTCGGTCAAGTTGTACAACAAAAGCCGCCGTTTTTTATTACTTCCTGTCCTTCGATTAGCAAGAAATCGCGGCCACATATCAGAAAAAACCCAGCGATTATGCCAAACTGAAGCAAGCACCAAACAAATCAGAGATAGCGAGGTTAGCAAGAAGCAAAGCTGATGGAGTACGAAATCTTTTCAATGGATCTTTATACATTATCCATAATAATGCACAATTTAGAAATATTGCCAAAGAATAGCTGGCTATTGCAACGCGATTCACTACACTATAGTCATCGTTCACTCTTCCTGAGTTATCGTAGTTGAAGCTTTCGTTCTTTGGAATTAATAAGTCTAAAAGTTTCTTACAAATTGAAGTCTCCGCATTTTGAGCATCAAAGCACCCAAGGCGACTCATATGATGGATAAGCTCGCTTTTGTTCCAGTACTCCATTTAGATTTTAGGCTGTGTATTAATAACTGCGCACTTCGTGATATCAACTTCTCGGTCCGACACTACAAAATTCAACTCACCACTTGAAGCTCTTGAATGCGTATTTTGATTTCTCCAAATTGAAATTCCTGTATTTATGTACTTTTCTACACGGCAGCTGATTCCTTGACAGCGTGGTATTTAATGATAATAGCACGGGGCACAGCCCCTTCCTCAGAAACGAGATAAGTTCAAATCCATGTCCTTAAATACTTTCGGCCCAATCCTAATTAACATACTTAAAGGGTATTGGCAACAAAAAATTTTATTGCTTCATCTGAAAGAGCATGGAAAAATAAGCCGATTGGCCGTTTAATGCTCTATTCCAGAGGAGGAGTGAGGACTATACCGGCATGCAACGCGGTCAGGCGCGGTTTTTTACATATTATCGATTTCTCGCTCTGCGCCGTCATTGTTCGGTTAGCCTGCTCGCAGGCCGTTGTCAGGCAGAGGCTGCATGGGAGGTACGGCCTGCGACCTTTATTAGTAAAAAGTCGATTTATGCGTACGGAGCGTACGGAAAATTCCCATTGGTCAGAAGTGCCCCATGAGTTAATATCGTGCAAATATTTAACTCGTACGACATTTCGCAATGTATAAAACCATGACTTTGGCGTATAAAACCATGACTTTGTTTATCTCTTCGAAGAAGTAACTGAATGT